GGTAATAAGCGGATAGATAAATGGTTTGGGAAGGCGGGAGTGTATGAAGGTGAAAGTGGTCATAGTTTTCGGATTGGGGGGGTGCGAGCGGGAATGGAGGAAGGTTGAAGTCTGGAGGAAATGATGAGGCAGGGGACATTAAATAGTATGAGAATATTTATGCGGTATGGGTACGGGATGCGACGCAGGTGGAAACGCGGAGTGGAGGAAAGAAGCGGTGTGGATGGAGGTGAGTCAGGTGACAGGGGTTATGTGGTGACTTTGGATGAGAATCGAGGCCTAGGTTGAAAACAGAATGGCGGAAAAACCTAAAATAGTGGGGTTGGGGCAGGAATAATGGATCCTAGAACTGAGAATGCAGGAGTATTATAATTTCGGGATTATAGATTTTTGAATGAAACTGAGTGAGAGGATATGGGGTAACCAGTTGACTTTAGTGAACTAGCGAAAAATAAGTAGGTAGGTGGTCGGTGAAAGAATTGCGCAAGAGAGTACGTGCTGAACTAGAGACGATCGGGGGGAAAGTCATCGGTAAGGTTGAGAAAGAGGGTTCCAGTCGAGAGAAGGAGCATCAATAAATGAGGACTTTGCAGACAAGGTTCTGAAAATAAAGAGTGGGGAGATATAGTGGTAGTTCGACGCGAACAGGTCGATGGCGGGAGCACTTATGATTGAAAAAATATCGTGCCTAACATAGGGTGGAAATGCCCCAATCGGTGTTATCTCAAGTTTTGGATAAAATATCGGCAGCGTTTAAGAATCAAGGAATCCAGACTGGTATAAGAAGGGTATCATGACATACAAGGATTTAAGCAATTTGACGAAGCCAGGGGTTGAAGATAGGGTTTGATGAGCGGAGGCTGGTGAGAAGGGTTATGGAGGATTGACTGTATGAAAGGAGTCTGATGGACGAGAAAAGGAGAAAGTAAGGGTAATTGGATTTAAGGAAGAGAAAGGTTTCATAAATAGCAAAGAGTTCCCTGTGGGTTGAGGAAGTTTGAAGGAGTTCTTGAGGTAGGCATTCGTTTAGGGTAAGGGGTGAAAGAAGTGTGGGAGTGATGGTTAATCCAATTTGAGAGATTGATGCGTTAATTGATAGTGTGCATGTTATTTTGCGGATGGTCCAAAGACGACCTAGAAGGTGAGGAAGGTGACAAAGCCATCAATTAGATGAGATCATCATAAATTTGTACAGGCGAGTCCCAGTTAGACGATGAAATGAAATCGTAGAGGGAGGAGATAAAAAGAGAGGTCAGTAAAAAAAAAATTGTAAGTAATATCAATTTTCATACGAGCTTTGCTAGAGTTCGGTTGGAAGGTAAGGAGTGGGAGGTTGAGGTAATTAGATTGACCAGTTTTTTTTTGCTTTGTCCTCTTGGACCCTTATGGGCTTGTGGTGATAG